CCCGAGTTGTAAATTTTTGACTCGGTTGAACCGTTTTGACACGGGTGACACGGTTTACTATAACCCGGTTCTAAACTTTATCATCTTCATCTGTTGACATCAAATCCAAATCGAATTCTTCGTTTCCAAATTTTTTAGTAAATTTCGACAATTGACCACTTTCATCATCCAAAGAATCAGATTGTGTCGTAGGGTTCCAAAGTGGATGATTGCGAGTATCCTTAATTAATTTAATTAGAGATTTTGGAGAGGTTGTACGCATCGTGTAAGTAGCTCCATTCGACAAAATTATTTGCTGAGTAAATAGTTCAGGACGAGTAGCCATTTGTGGCTTTTGAGGTAATGATTTTGTAGAATAAAAACCAAGAAAGCATTGAGGTTTACTAAAAAATAAATGTTGGCGTGTGAAATGAGATATTAGTAGAGGAGTTTGTATATTCATTTTAAGATACATAATTATTCAATAGAAGGTATCCTGATAGTCTATCGCTATATCTGATATCGAATTAAAAGTTTTTTTTTTTGTAATAAGCTGGACACAATCATGCACAATAAACAGTGTTACGTTACATATTAAGGGTTGTCTTTGTAAGCCACAAAATTGATTTGGTCGGCTTTCGGCCTAAAAGCACGTCGCACGCATGTAACGTACGTACGTACGTACTTAAAATGTAATAGGTAAGTATTTATGTGCCATGTCGGTAAGAAAAGAAGACCAACCAATCGAAAAATGTAAAATTTAACATATGAGAAGCAGGGAAGAAAAAATCGAAATACTAATATAGAAAAAATTTTGGGGGTGTTAATTAAAAATGATAGATACTCAAGTTTCTAAATTGCCTTTTTGAAACCTCGTGTCACGTTAACACTTTAGTAAAGCCCCGACTTATGCCCATATGAGTATAAATCGGCGTTCTTTAAAACCTAAATAAGAAAAGATACTGGACTATTAATATATTATTCAATAAGTTAAATCTGTGAAACAATAACGAGATCCGAGAAATTTCCATAAATTTCGATGACATTCTTCGGTAAATCAAATTATATAATCTAATGATCGATTGGAATATATATAAATGAGTTAAATGTGGTAGGCTCGTTTTATAAAAACTCACTTCCGGACCCCTTTTCACAAAATAATAATTAACCGTGGTATATTTTTTTGCCGTTTCCGTGCATTTTACATAATCATTTTAAAACTATATCTTGTTTTTAAAACTGAACGAAATATTATCCATCAATATGAATGCCACACTACAACAACGTGCGTTTGAAGTACCTACTGTTGACCACAAAACATGCTCGAGAAAACGATTTTATTTTGAAGATGAACTTTCCCATAATGTGAACAAACGAGTTAAGACACCTCCTCACTCAGCTAACAATTTTCCTTCAGAATCTGCTGTATAATCGTCAGAGTTACCATCTTTAATGATATATTCACCATTGTTTCGACGATACAA